GTCACACTGACACTGATTGGAAGTGTCACGTTCGGAAGTCTTCGGCTTCTGGGCTAGAATCATTAACATTGATCAAACTTATTTGCGACCCAGATCTGAAGTAAAAACACGTCCAGCCAGGTTGGAAATTGCACGGGATATGCATTACGGATATATGTGCACCTGTTGTTCTGGGTTGATTCCAATGACTTGAAATCGATAAGACTTGGTGATGGACGTTATCAGGACCGCGACACCCACTTAAACCAGCGTGTAGTTCATTGTACTGTTGACTTAATGAGATCAACGTGTGTTACGAAAGCTTTTTCTTTTGTTTAACTTTATTCGTGTAAACACGTTGAAGACAACTCTGTAGCACGCCCTAACCTAACGAACGGGTATGGGACAGGTATCCTAGAGAATAAACGCTGTCCACTAAATGCGAGCTCGTTCAGCACACCGTTCCATAAAATTTCTGTTGAAATCCTAACAAGATAAGCATGTAATTGACTCTGTCAAACGCCTTCAGCCTTCAAATTATGAAGATCAATTGTAGTAGATTTTCTTGATCGCCCGTGCTTCGGGTATTTAACTCCGTCGTATCGGAAGGGCATCTTACTTCAGATCTATAGAGAGGCAGCAAATGGCTGGGCCTAATGTATCGACCGAGCCGTCACTGTACGACAGGACACAAAGTTGTAAAAGGTGGGATACAATCGGACCTAATGTTGACGTGGCTAAGTCAAGGAGTTGTTGCGCAGGTCCAATCAATCAATAAACAGCTAATTGGTAGAGCAATTAAATCTTTTCTACGGTGTGATACAGAACACCGCAAGGTTAACACTTGTAACATTGAAACATACGATTCCTGTGGACAAACAGTGAAATGAATCGTTCTGGCGTGTGGCTGGTATATCCAAGTTTCCGTTATATAGTCTTTAGATAGCAAAAAACCGTTGCAAAAAGAAATTAATTCGAGCAAGACTGCTTGCTTTCCATTAAACTACAGCAGTTTGACTTCGTTTTTATTTTAGTTATTTGTTTGTCGTCCATCAGCAAAAACACCATTGTGGTCTCACGGAAATAAACATCCACCATTTGGTGTACTGTTCCCACGGTAATGACTGTTCCAAATAAACAAATCATCATGTTCCCATGGAAATAATTATTTCACAAATAGGTAAAACACTCGTGTTCCCACGATGAGCTTTTCCAGTAATTGATAAAACTATGTTGTTCCCATGGAAAAAAACTGCTCCACTAATTGGTAAAACACTATGGTGTTCCCACGTCAATATGTTACACTAAAAATGAAAAACATTAGAGTGTTCCCTTGAAATGACTGTTTCACCAATTTCCAAAACACTAAGGAGTTCTTACGGAAACAAGTTATTGGTAAAACCGATTGTTTAAAATGTATCAGAAATAGGATTCCCATATTAAGACATTCTTTGAAGAAGAATTAATGAAAGTTTTTTTGTACTATTCGGAAATAAATCGATATTATCACAAATTTTTAAGAGGAAAAACCTCAAAAATCGCTTTTATAGAATTGGTTATCCATCAAAAATGGTACTGCGACGTATTTTAAGATAACGGTATCAAACTTGTACATCTCTGAATGTTACAGTATCATCAGGGCTTACTGGTTTACTTATGTAATGAGCGATAACATCCCTCGTACTTATTTCATAGTAATATTTCCAGATGTAAAATGAAGTGAAACTGAAACAAAATAAAAACTTACCGGTGAGGATGCTGGGTAGTACTAAATATATATATAGAAAGGAACTTCCGAACTCAACTCCTACAGTGGAGCTCTTCCTACAGGCATCGGCAGAATGTAAACACTTTGTCGACTGTTCGAAACAACACACGGTGCACCAACAAATAATTCATGAAAATTGTTAATGTTCTGTCAGAATGTTTATACTTAATTATAAAACGAAATATTGAGAATGCTAACTTTATTCTTTAAGTGTTCCATTATAATTCAGAAATAAGAAATACGTGTATATGAAGTAGTTCGACCAGTGTCTTACTAAAGCCAGCGGCAGTGTTGTTTATACTATCAAGATTGTAATCATCTTCAGATTATCACAACCCCTTTTGAAATTGTGAAATTGAAACACCACACATGGTATTCACAATTCCCTTATTAAATAAAACCAATATGTCTATATATATAATTGACTATTAATGGCTATAATTTTACAACAATAAACCTTGTATCCTGATCTTCCTGCATAAAGCCTGTAATTACGTTAGTAGATAGCGTGTGACTTTGGTTATCGCTTGGTTCCCGATCTAGCGGAGATGACAGCGCCCAAACGTATAACCATTAAACCTATACAAGGATTGAGGATGTAAGAAAATAAACTCCCCAACATACCATTGTGTGACGTCAAAGTCTCCCCAGAGAAAACACCATTACGTGGCTTAAGAGTTCATGTAAGATCACCAATGCACGGGGTATCACAAGAAAACAATCGTGTGGTCACCCATAAAAACCAACTGTTGTGTGAATTCAATGTCCCCACACAACAATCTTTGCGCTACGTCAGAATCTTCTTCAAGAAACCGCCATTTCCATTAAGAAACGACATTTGCGTAACTTCACAAGTTCATACCACATAACAATTACAAAAACAATTTTGGGGGCGATTACGATGCCATATAGTTAGCAGTTTACAACATTAAAATAACAGACCGCTTACACCATTGCTAATACCGTAATAAAAATAACCCACCTACAACATTGAAAATAAAACATTAACAAAAAACAACCGCCTTCAACATTGATAGTACCGTATTACTACTAATAAAACGCATACAACATTGGTACTTATAAAAAAGTGAAAGACAAAGGCAATATTGAATCAAATGTGTCAAAATCATTTACAGTTGTTTTGATAGCAAAACCCATCTTTGCAACGAACAGTTGTACGGATTGATCGGAAACGTGCTTCAGTAAAGGAAATCCACGAGAGTGAAAAGACAGGTTTCAGATTTGATTTATTCCATAATTCGTTGACGGGTTTCATCACTGCAGCTTTCGTAACATTATATATGGTATCATTCCTTCTGTTAATGAAAATATCAAGGTCACCTCCACGTTTGTAATCGTGTTGGTGATAAAATAAGATGGTCACCACAGCCGACTCCAAAGCGCCAAATTGTGTCGGTATTACGTGTAACTTGGAATGGTGCACGATACCCTGCCCACGTGACGTGCAATGTGAGACGGAAACAGGAAGTCCGCCCAAGCGCCGTCATTGTGGAATGAAATTGATTACACTGGTAATGGCTGTGCGGGAGTAATTTGCGATCTTATAGAAAACATATTGCTTCTTCCATGTCTTGATGAAATGAAAACTCGACACGGCCCTGTGAAACACACACCAACTATAAATATTTCTGTAGCTTGCTCAAGGCTAAGTGAGAGTACGGGAACCTGTACAAGCATGTAAACACTGCCTTCGTTCTCTTGGCAATGGTCGGTTAACAACGTGATCAGAGCTCTTACGTAACGTGTCCTTTAACAACATTAGATCCTAAATTACCTTCTTTTTATTGTCTAAATTGCGTGCATCAGCCCAGAGACTAATAAAGAATCTAAATTCAGTCCAATTACTGGTTTGAAAACCATTTTTAACATATTAAATGATTAAAACGATTTTTACAGCAGTGTCAAATGTCTGCTTCACCTTCCTGAACATTTCAGATTTTGACGCGGGACATTTGATCCAACTTGCTACTACATTATTGGAGCGAATGGCTGAATATTGTATACCGATAAGGTCGATATACATCAAAAGCTTTTAGTGGTAACAAAGCAGAAATTGAAAAGGAAAAAATTTAACATACAAGAGAAAGACGAAAAAATCAAATGCCTGTTTTACTCATCTGTGTAAAAAAAAAAAAAGCTCCTTCAATAATTGTTATCTCTTTTATGCTACACATTTCCGGCAGAATTTCACGAAAGTTGATATACTAGCTGACTATGGCTCTATCTGGAACGAGTTCGCGTATCTCCATAGTTATAGCCCTATATTAGCCGTAAAAGCTGATTTCTCAACGGCATTCGTTGAAACTTCATACAATGGATTACAGTGGCCATGTTTCTAACAGCTTCGCGTTCCGTAATCTTGCTCCCATATTTATAGAGATATTGTCTTTAGTTTACTCAACGGGATTTCATTAAACATCACACAATGGCAATGTCTCGGACGTGTTTGCGTTTCGCAGTCTGAACTCTCCAATTTCAGAGTAATTGTCCTTAGTTTATTTCACTCAAATATTTCTCAACGGAATTCAACGAAACATCACACCAGACAATACCGTGGCAATGTATCTCGGATTAGCATTGTTTGCCACCCGTCATCTTAAAATTCAATTTCTTACTTCTGTCAAGTGTCACACAAATAAATTACCTTTCATACAGTTCTATGTATTAAACAACATTCCCATTACGACAGGTTTTATCTAATGCAATGCCTTGTTTTATTAGGATAGATAAAATGAACATCTCTAACAGGTTACCGTGACTCAGCCCTTGTACCGCCATTGTAGAAGTGGTCAGAGACCAGCGGTCATGTAATGGTCACTTCCGCCAATCACAAAATGTACCATCAACGTTACACGATTTATCAAATATCGACGCGGTACTTTGCGTTTGTTTTCAACAGCATAGAAACACTCCGAAAACGACTGATCTGATACATTACACATTCAATTTCTTCCGTACCCGGCACTTTGGATAAAATTTGTGATGTGTGATACATTTAGCTTAGTACCTATAAATCTGGAGTGAAAAAAGAGTAAAATATGAATTAAATTAGATTCACTGGTTGCGACAACCGACAAAAACGACGTCAGTTGTCTGTAACGAACCCTGTCTTTAGTTCCTTACATTAATTCGAAATAATGTCGTTTTTTATACCCTACATATTAATGTTGTTAAGTTACAACTATTAAATTTCGGGAAATGAATTATATGACAAAATCAACATGAGACGTACCTTCTTTTCCCTCCTTCTCCTTCCGGTAACATGGCGCATGTCCCTCATCCGGGAAATCGTCTACCTGATAGGTTGACCTCCGACCTGTCAAAATTCCGCCAAGGAGGAGACTTCGGATGTTACCATAATATGACGTCAGACGATCTGTCAATTTTGTCCTGTAAATTAAAGAGCGAATTGTACAGAAACAAGGCACGATGAAAATAAAGCCACGAACAATACCTGTCCTGGCGATCTTACCAACAGTTGTAAACACATCAAAGCAACATCAAAGACGATATTTACTGAAAAAAACAATTTAGATTTATACTCAGTTGTATCAAAGATTGGTAAACGAAAGGGTTATGTCTGTGACACCATAGACTAACAAAGTGACAATCCTGATTTAACATACGAATGTAATATATAATACTGATTGAGATTAAATTTGAGAGAAATGTGGACACGCGAAAAATCTCGACGCAACAGGAGACCAAATACTACATTTCATTTTCTGTGGTCTAAAATACCACATTTCTGTGGTCTAGTCTGATATGTTATTGGTGTTGACGTCTAAACCACCCACAGGATATAAACAATGAACTGCAATTATGCCGACATAACCATCTATTTTGCCTTGACATGCATTAGTGGCCTGCTCACGCTAAAGAACACTTTAATGGTACAAAATAAACAAGTATCCCCGGACTCCGCCAGCTTTTTGTTGGTCATCGATTCTCGCCCACACGTCCTACTTCCCCATAGAAGAGATTAAAACGTCACAACGGAGCATTTAGTGACGAGAGCATTATCTGGCCAATCCAGCTCCTGCAATTAGAACATTATAGTACACGAGTCATTTTTACCTCACCTGGTCCAGAACGGCCGAAAAGGAGACATTTTGCCTTTTTTACAGGATTCTTTCCAACTTTGGCCCAAATTATCCTTAGAAGAAGGGAAGCAATTTATTATCAATAGTAGGTTTGAGATTCCTAGACGGAATGACGAACCAAAATAGAGCAATGTCTTTTAAATCCTTCGTCTTATAAAGGATTGCCGGGATGCTGTCTTAATTTGGTCTAAATCATCCAAGTGAATGGATTATTTTTATAAACTTTGGACTTGGCCCTGGGGAGGGGATGGTAACAGGAAAGTAAAGCACATTATTTATAATCCTCTGTAGGAATGTCAAGATTCTTTCAGATTCTTCCTCAATGTGGGCTAAAGAATACATGGATAACGGGAATCAATGTTATACCAAAGACGGATCACGTCTCCTTAGGTAGGAAGAGAGCATATGATTAAAAAAAAAGCTTTTGCTGGAAATGGCCTATGAATGAAGCATGATTGTGCGGAAGGCGGAGTTTGACCAATTGAGGTCGGAAGCATCACTGAATTTAGGGATTTTAAGTTTGTATCAATCAAAGGTCAGACTCGATACAGGCCCCATGTGCCTTGTGTTTGTAAAAGTCAAACGACCTAAACAGGGATATTTCTTTTGCGTGCACCATTATACATATATGTACATGAGCACGTGCACTTCGTCTTCATCAAGTCAAAGTCCGAAAGTAATGTTTGAACCAAAACTACATGTAAATCGTAAAACAATAACGTAATTATTTCATTGTTATTCATGCCCAAGAAAGTCGTATTTTGTATCAATATTACGATACAGAAAGTATCGAACACCATTTAAGGAAAGATTTGAATTCTGGTGAAAAATGAGAGTGTATAGTGCATTGGTATATCTTCACGATTCGGCTTTAATTTAGGTCATAACATTGTGTGTAAACAAACCTGAAACGTACCAACAAACGTTTATGGATTCATTCACAGATTCAAATGACAAACATTTGGCGATAATTTTGTTTGCACGAATTGATAATGTGTACTATTGAACTGAACTGATTTTAAGAAGTATTTTGCGATAAGATGAAACTCCTAGCTTCACATTATTTTCCCTCTAGGATTAAGGTTGCATTCGGCAGTTTAAATTTTATCACGCGCAAATGGAATCCATCCATTCATTCAAAGCTACCCGGTATATCATATTAAGTTAATGTAAGAAAATCGTAAACTTAGTAAGATTTGTAAATTTCGTTAAAAAAAAATCCCAGTTATTGTTTCGTCACTCCACCAACATGACTGAAAGTTGCGCCAAAATTGTAAATGGTATGCCTGAGAATGGTGTAATGAAATACTCTTCGTTTATGGAAAGGCTTAATGTGCTTTACCAAATTCGTAAATTTCATGACCCCAGGGTCTCGCATGATTTGTTTTTTTTATTGGAAAAAGAAAAAAACATGGTTAGAATTGGTATTTAGGAATAACGGTCTAATGACATGAGCGATTGACCTTGACGTATATTCATGTCACAGGGGTCAATTTCGTTAAAACCTATTAAATGGCTTCTTCTCATGAACTAAAAGGCCTACAGGCATGATATTTGGCTGGTATATATATACCAGGTGAGCACTGCAGGCCAGTTGGACCTCTTGTTAGAAGCCTTAGCATGGAATGACAAAACGTTTTATGCACAGTTTACATTTGAATTACATGTATGACATAGTTCAAGTTATTAACAATATTTTTTCTATTTCTGTATCCTCAAACCATTTCTTCACTGTTTCAGTAAAACACTCAACGGATTTGCCTGGTTATTCAACAGTATGAAACAGATGTCAACACAATTACATGACGGAATGACCAGTAGGTAAGTACGGTATACTGATATACGTTGCCAACTACATAATACCCTGTATACTACACGAGAGATAAATCATTTGTTTTTGCATCAAGAGATAGAGGCATTGCTACGGACTAAGGGAGATAACTTCAATGCAACGATAATGTTTAAATGTTATAAATCTAGCAAAATGAATTAAAAATAAAACCTTAAAATCATGGTTTACCGTAAATATAGCTAAACTCTCAGTAGTAATTCAGAATAATATTGTTATTGCGATGTCAGGGGAGGTATGTCATCCAAACAGCTCCTGGGGAGGTCGGGCGGCGCAGTGGTAACTCACTCGCCTATCGCTTAACCATCCGGGGTTTGATTCACGGTACGGACATGAAAGGGTATATGGGGTCACCTGCCTGTCCACGTGGATGTTTCCCGGATATTCTATAACCAGCACAAATAATGCATGGTATACTATAATTAGCACAAATAATGTATGGTATACTATAATTAGCACAAATAATGTATGGTATACTATACTTTGTACAAATAATGTATGGTATACTATCCTTTGTACAAATAATGTATGGTATACTATAATTATTACAAATATTGTATGGTATACTCTAACTGGTACAAATAATGCATGTTATTTTCTGACTAGTACAAATAATCTCAGAAATCCGACATCTTTTCATTCCAATCAAATCATTGTTGTTGGCACTACCAAGTAAGGAACGGGGCAATTTCAGTTTTCAAATGATGTATTTGACTGGTCAAGAAATCAAATACGCATTTGCAAAATAAAATTGCCCCGTGCCTATTTCAGTAAAAACTTTCTACAACAGTGTTACATGCCTCTCTGTGTCAAAGAACCACTAGTTTATATATGTAGTCAGGGGCGGATACAGGAATTTAAGTTAGGGGGGCGTTATAATTAACTTACTTAACTCTTTCTGTCGTTATGTGATCAACTATAATAAAGTTACTGTATACTTGAAAATTAGCCCAACTTAAGTCATCTATAGCTGTTTAGAACAGTGATAGTCATAACATACGACCAAGACCATCCAGTATACTTCGTAACTCACCCTTACTCTGCCAATTTTAGGGGGGGCGTGCGCCCCCCACGCCCCCCTCTAAATCCGCCCCTGGTAGTTCTGTAGTTTTCTCGTACAATGGCTTAGTGACAAAGTCTTTATAAAACAGTGGTGAATCATTTTGTTTCAAGGTTGTTCACTTTATTCAGGAATCATCTACTTACTAAAGGGGCAGATAAGAACCAGATTTGTTTCTGTTTTTTTTTTCTCAGTTTTGCTCTATTGTCGCAATAAATAAAATTTCCAATTTCTTCTGTTACAGACCAGTTGAACTGGTTGTTAAATCAAAGAAAGCCTCATGATCAACTGTGGTACTATTATTTACAAAATGTGATAAAGTGGAAGAACACGACAAAGGAAGAGGAAACAATGCAATAATCAGGACACGATACGATACAGCTGAGGACACGATACGATAAAGGGGGAAGACATGATACGATACAGCTGAGGACACGATACGATAAAGGGGGAAGACATGATACGATACAGCTGAGGACACGATACGATAAAGGGGGAAGACATGATACGATACAGCCGAGGACACGATACGATAAAGGGGGAAGACATGATACGATACAGCTGAGGACACGATACGATAAAGGGGGAAGACATGATACGATACAGCTGAGGACACGATACGATAAAGGGGGAAGACATGATACGATACAGCCGAGGACACGATACGATAAAGGGGGAAGACATGATACGATACAGCTGAGGACGCGATACGATACAGCTGAGGACACGATACGATAAAGGGGGAAGACATGATACGATACAGCTGAAGACACGATACGATACAGCCGAGGACACGATACGGTAAAGGGGGAAGACATGATACGATACAGCTGAAGACACGATACGATACAGCCGAGGACACGATACGGTAAAGGGGGAAGACATGATACGATACAGCTGAGGACGCGATACGATACAGCTGAGGACACGATACGATAAAGGGGGAAGACATGATACGACACAGCTGAGGACACGATACGATAAAGGGGGAAGACATGATACGATACAGCTGAGGACATGATACGATACAGCTAAGGTCATGATACGATACAGCTAAGGACACGATACGATACAGCTGGGGATATGATACGATACAGCTGAGGACATGATACGATACAGCTGAGGACACGATACGATACAGCTGAGGGCATGATACGATACAGCTCAGGACCATGATACGATATTTACTGACCAAAACACAGCTGTTATTGTACAGCCATATGAGCATTACGGATGGACTGCTGATATCAGAAAACAGTATATAAATGATCGTGACGAATACCTGGTCATTATTTAGATTGAGATTTGCAAAATGTCAGGAACCCATTAAATCATTTGTACTTAAGTGTATACGTATGAAATATTCACCATCTATTCT